TTTTTTTTTTGAGGGGGTGGGGCTGGGGTTGCGCCACCCCATGGCGCTTCCCAAATCCCCAACACCCCTCCCCAATGGCCGCAACACGGCCGCAAAGTTCCGCGGCCGCGGGGGTCGCGGACTCGACCGCGGCCGCGGATCGGCCGTGCTTGTCCGCCGCCGAGGGTGTTTCATAGGCCATATGGCCTGGCCTCCAGTGTCACACAGTCCTCTGATCCATGGACGTACCGGCCGACCGAGGGTGGACATTGAAAAGGGCGACTCATTTTTGTGGCAGCTTTCTCGGTACGGGTACGGGTCGTTGACCTTTCCATTTTGTGTAGTGTCGTTGGGGCGTTCATCACGGCCTACGCGCCACATACACATAAGCTCAAAACGTACCCCTAACAAAGCGCAGCGCCCTGTGATTTTGGAAAGTGGTGGGATCTGCATTTCACAACAAAATTGCCTAATTTACTGTCGGATCAGAAGCTAAGTAAATTTACTATTTTTCGCGTATCCCACCTTGTTCCACAACTTAAGGAGGCTCCCGTATTAACGGAGGGATTTGGAAACAAGACGAGACGTGGCCTCCTGGGAGCAAATGATGGGAGCCTCCTTTGGCCGAAATCGCGAATGAAGGGAGCCTCCTTTGGCCGAAATCGCGAATGAAGGGAGCCTCTTTTGGCCGAAATCGCGAATGAAGGGAGCCTCCTTTGGCCGAACGGGGCTGTACTCTGTTCCCAAAAGGATGGCGTGATTTTATGATTTCTTTTTCTATTATTTTTTTGGTCCATTCGCGGACCTGGTTGGTCTGTGGCTGTACTTCCCAAGAAAGGCTGCCACCACCACGTGCGTAAAATTTCCTACAGTAGCGGGAAGGTGGAGTATGATATTTCTTTCACCGCTGACCCCTTCTTTTCCGTTTCTTTTACACTTTTACTAACCATAAGCACGGTGGGACGAGGCCCTGACTGGTGGCGTGTGCTGTTTCGCCAGGTGTGCCTAAATCTGATTGGCCCCAGGCACATCCTGATTGGCCCCAGGTTCCGATAGGCTCTGCGCGGCTTCGTAAAGTGTGTGCCCTTGAACCCTTGTTCCGACAGGTTGTGCGAGGTTGTGACGCCCAACCTCCGAGTCACGCCCAGCGCGACTTCCTGATCGGAGTGGGATGGGGGCCCGGAAGTGCGAAAAAGGGGTGTGCCAAGGATTTTTGGGAATTTGGGGTGGAGTCCCAGATCAGAACTGAGATCTCCTGTGGCAAGTTTCAGGGGTAGGAGTGCAAGTGTCTTCTGGCTCAGAGTTGGGGCGATGACCGACCATGCGGCCTGGGCCGGGATGGGGTGCTACGGGTATCTCTGTGGGAGTGCTCGTATTGTTGTCGGCCATCGCACGTCTCGGGGTCCGACGAAGACGAGTTGGATTCTCGTCGCTCGGTCCTGGAATGGGCTCGTTGCGCGCCCCTCGCTTGTCGAAGCTCGTCGGGCTGCTGACACTCTGAGCACAGCGGGCGGGGCCTGAACTGGGCTATGGAATCCCAGGGGACCACGAGTAACCGATGGTAGGGGAGGACGGTATAGTAGGGTGGGAAGTCAGTGGTAATGGCAACGAAGCCTGGGGTTAGAAAATATTGCTGGTTCCGACTGTCAGGATAGTCGGGAATCCGCGAGTCTCGGTTGATTGCCAACTGGAAATCGCCCTTGCACAGTCGCTCGTTTTCAGTCCGGCAAGGGTACTCGAGATATCCTGGGTTCCGTAGGTGGCGTTGTTGCCAGGTTCGCTGCCGACAGATCTGTTCCCTTTCCCAATACGCCCGGTGTTCTGGGTCCCTCAGGCTTTCCGAAGGGAGAATCAATCGCCATGTCTCGTTCAACCAAAGCCCTGCATACACATCTTCTTACAGGGCGGGATCGTGGCTAGCTTTGCAGGCGCACGTGTAGATGGCCCGTCTGCAGAGGGCTGCTGTCTTATACGTGTGTGCACAAGGGTCAGCGGATCTGATCCTAAACTGCGCAAATACCCAAGGGACGTGTCGGGTCAGTCATGCAGCCAATTCCCTCGGGCTACCAATCTCGTTCCGTTTTGGTCAGGCACAAGCATGCATACTCAGCGATCCCGCATGCCTGAGGGCGCCGGGATCTTTAATTCGTCCCAACCCATATCGTAGATGGGGATTCCCTCATTCACGTCTAGATCCGTTGCGTTAAGTCCATTCGGGGTTGCGGGTCAGCCTCGTGAGTGCGCGTGTAAGTCGTACTCGTCAGATCGTACTTACACGGGGACTCACAAGGTTGGTCCTCTGTGGATCGATTCATCAGCCAATCACCTATGCAAAAGAGGGTTCATGCAACAACCTTTCAGACAACTTTTTTCGAGCAGAAAGTAGTTTTGTGGCCATCAGGGGAATATCTCATCACCACCCAGACATGCATCGAAGCATCATAACCATAGCAATCCCTTTCACCTACCAATCACCTGAGTGAGAATAGGCAGGCGCCGTGAGCATTGGATGATTCAGAGATACATGCAAAACATCAGTTATCCCGACATTACAAGATCATCAAACCCATCTCATCAAGCGAATCCAAAAAACGAAAGAGGGAGAACACATCGCACAAAGACGAAAGAAATGTCAAAATGCAAAACATGGGCGTTTCGCCCGGAGCCAAAATTCTATACACAAGGACTGAGGAAAGACAAAGAAGACTGCAATCCCATATCCGCCCGTTTCCCCTTTCTCTCTCTCTCCGATGCGGACAGTCCATCGTCTCGCACCCACCAACGAAGTTGTCACCCCGCTTAGTCCGCATGCGCCCGTCAGGCTCGCCCGTGCCCCATAGTCCATCGCGGCCTACACGTCAACCCCGCGCACTTGGCACCAGCTCGTCGGGTCGCCCAACTCCCACATCCACTCACCTCTTACTCCGATCATTAGCCGACCCTCACTGATCGTGCTAACCTCGAGCTTCCAAAAATTTTAAGAGAGCTATCTAGTCGAGCTTGCTGAATTTATAACATGCATGCGTGCGCGAAGCGTGCGGGATTGCATAGACTGAGAAGGGGAAGAAGGAAAGGAAGTGCCTGCGTGCTGCATGAACCGGCCGCGGCGTGGGGGACGTAGCCACTCTCCACGCATCGATCTGAGCATGCAGCGCGTCGGCTAGTCAAAACACAGCAAAAAGAGGAAGGAGAGGCGGGAAGAAGGCGAGAGCAAGAAGAGGGGATACAGTTACAATTGCGCCCGCCAAAGATTACAGTTACACGCAAGATTAAGGCGCGGATGGAAAGCAGCGCTCAGATCCTGACAAGGCGCAGCGTGTGCAAGCAAGAAGCGCTGCGCAGCAAAAATTAAAAGAGAGCCTAAATTCCTAGCCTAAGTTCTTACTTGCAAAAAGGAAATTCCGAGAAAGGGGAAAAAAAAAAGGAAGAAAAATAATTCCACGAGCCCGTGGGGCTCGACTTCAGTTGAAATTTCAAAAACGAAGA